AAGAATGCACATTAGTTCTACACAGAGCTGCCGCTCCTCATCTATGAGACAGGTAAATACCCGCAAGTGTGACGATACTCTGTGGAGAAACGGCACTCCAATACAATGCTGGCGGGAGTGTAAAATGCTACAACTCCTATGGAAGGATAAACGCAAAATACAGATCTAGTAATCTCCTTCCAGGAATCAAGTACAGTTTTTTCCTATGCAAGTGGGAAATGAAATGTGCAAGTTATACCCAAAGCAACAAAGTAAAAGATTAGAAACAGCCCTCCCGTTTCTAGTAGAGAATCGGTCACGCACACAATGGAACAGAACTGCATACTACAAAGCGATAAAAAAGAACAAGATGATCTTTATGAACTTGTGCAGCATGAGCTCTAGGATACACTAAGTGGAAAAAAAAAAAACAACAGTCAGAACAATAAGCACAGCAAGCTACCTCTGGTTATGACTGACAGGAGTTGGTATCAGGGACCCTGAAATACAACCCCATTTGAGCTAGATTTTTAACTTCTTACTTTGAATACTGACAGGTAAGGGAATGACTCTTGCCTTTCCATTAGAAACTGTATCTCAGGGTAACCAAGGAATGACAAAAAAAGGCTGTACTTGACAAAAGAATGCCAGCCAATAAATACAGAAGAAATGATAGATTTAGAAAATCACCATTTTGCAACTCATAATTAAATAGTTGGTTTAAGGGGCGCCTGGGTGGCTCAGTGGATAAGCGTCTGCCTTCGGCTCAGGTCATGATCCCAGAGTCCTGGGATCGAGCCCCGCATTGGGCTCCCTGCTCTGCGGAGAGCCTGCTTCTCCCTCTCCCACTCCCCCTGCTTGTGTTCCCTCTCTCACTGTTTCTCTGTCAAATAAACAAACAAAATCTTAAAAAAAATAGTTGGTGTAAGCAAGTAATTATCAAGTGTTAATTGTTAAAACCATAAAATGTCAAAACATCACACAAGTTATTTGCACTTCTAAGGAAAAAACATAGCCCTGTTATAAAGTGAGCAGACTGTCAGCTCTGTAATTCAGTCTCAGCATTACTAACAACCAGATAATATGTTTCTCCTGACGTGACACAATATGAAACATGAAATATCACCTATGATTTACTCCAGCTAAAACATTTAATGTCAATCTATCAAGATGAGATCTAGCTTCCCAACTACTGGAATTCGGTAGAGAGAGGGATGAGCTAACAGATACTACAAGATATTTTCTTAGACCAATACAAAAAAGGGAATGCTCCAGATTAAGAAATGTCAAAGACGTAACAACCAAGTGCATGTTCCTGGACTGGATCATGGTTTGGACAAATCAGCTATGATGGATACTATATGACAATTAGTGAAAAGTGAACATGGACCTGTGTGGTAGACGGCCACAAATTACTTGTAGTTTCCTCATCAGGAAGTGAAGTCTTTGGCAAGGATGTGGAGAAAAGGGAATCTTCGTGTGCTGTTGGTGGGAATGCAAACTGGTGCAGCCACTGTAGAAGACAGTATGGAGGTTCCTCAAAAACTTGAAAATAGAGGGCGCCTGAATGGCTCAGTTGTTAAGTGTCTGCCTTCGGCTCAGGTCATGATCCCAGGGTCCTGGGATCGAGCCCCACATCAGGCTCCCTGCTTGGCGGGAAGCCTGCTCTCCCTCTCCCACTCCC